CATGTACACCCTACAAGAAACATGTAGGAATCATATACAATGAGGACAATTTTTACTAGGTCAACACAGAGAAAGGAAGGAATATTGCAGAGGAATGCACCGATTTAGCACGCTTGATAGCGACGAGATTTCCATCTTCAAGTCGGCCCTTGTAGACTGTCCCAAAGCCACCCTGTCCAATTTTCAAGGTGGGGGAGAAATTCTTGGTCGCCTTGTAGATTTCATCCACAGTGAATTTTACTCTCCCGGACCCTCTGGCGTGCGTCGAATTGTTTGAAGTGGCATAAATGCCTCGACGTCTCGTCTCACTGCCAGAACCGGAAGAAGCATCTGACGCATCCGAATACAAAAAAGACCACAGGACTAAGCTTTGATTTCGACATTGTGCAAGGGAGCTCTTAATTCTCAAGTTCTTAACATTGATTTAACATGAGCAGATAAGGCCTTAAACAAGATCATCTACCAGGTAATTCAAGTGTTCTCTGAATATAAAGATAAGAAGAAAAAGCAACTAAACTAAAAAACAAACAGAAAAGTTCAGCAAAAGTGCTTCTCTTAAATGCCTGTAGTTACAGGTGAATTGCTTTGGCTTTTCAAAGATTTAAAAATACAATGTCAGACATTATAATGTTGCTCAATAAAGGGATTGCTCTAACAAGTTATGAAAACATACATCCAAAGATGCGTCCTTTATAACCAACTATGAAAAATAAAGATGCAGACTTAAATTGCCTTAAAATTCGTCCTCTGTTTTTCCTGAAAAAAAAATCAAGCTGCAATCAGCTTATTTAAGTTTCAACCAAGGTGAAATGCAGTACTACTACATCTCTCGAGCAGTTGGTTTTTCTTCGTCCAGACATTGAAGGGTCCAACAAGACTAATTAATTTTGTCAAAATGTTCTTCTTTTTCTAGAATGGCAGTAATCAAATTTGAAAAAAGAGAAATCCAACCCATAATCCTCAAAACACTTTCTTAAATCTCCCAAGATCCAAGAAAAAAAAAAGCTCTTCACAAAGCACAAGCACTTAATCACTCTTAAAACCCATATATTATCCGATATTTGAAGACCTCAGAGTCAACTCCAATAAACTATGGTCAACACATGAGTAATTTAAATAGTAGTACCATTATATAAAAAAGCTTAATTTGTCAAGGAGAAGTATACTAGTAGTAAAATCAGCAGCAGACTTACCAAAGCTGCCTAAACTATTATTAGTCTCGACTTTCTCCGGAGGAGTGAAGCAAGCGATGAAGGCTCCGGCGAACGTCCTGGCGGCGACCTTGACGGGGTTCTTGTCGGAGTTTGACTTAGTGTTGGAGGAATTAGAGGATGATGAGTAGGTAGACGTCGGGGAAATACTTGGTCGGTCGGGAGTTCCGGACCCAGCTGAGCCGGAGCTAGAGAGGTCCCACCGGCGGCGAGGGTGGTGTGAGGTGGGACTTTTCATGGCTGTCTCTCGTCCGCGTTAGAAAATGGCGGGCAGTTGTAGTAAGAGCTTTGTACAAGAAATTACGTAGTAGAAGATATAATTGGTCTTGCTTGAACCACTATTATGACTTTTGTTTTTCTCTAGCAGTCCTTCACTTTTTAAGGGCATTCATAATGACACCACCTATATTTGTTTTTACCATATTTTAGTTCCTAAATTAAACTAAGGTCAAACTCACCAAGCACATCTCCCTTCGATGATGTTCTTCCTTTAAAAAATGTTTTTAAAAATGAATATAGATAGATTTAGTTGATCAAAGTGAACTTACAGATTGAATTTTTAGATAGTTTTTTCAGTTGATATGGATCAAAATATGATATGAATTTGATTGCCTTGAATGCAAAACCTTAACAAAATTTTAGCTCTATAACTTAAAGAATCTGTATCCCGTACCTGTTTCTATATTTATGTAAAATATAAGTAGTATTAAAATAGATATATCTTATGGAATTCTCAATCTTATTATAAAGTGAGAAACGAAAAAATTTATTTAGGAATAGATACCTTTTTTTTTTTTTTTGGATTATTGATGTTTGTGGCTAGATTGGAGATATCTTGCACTCCATCCACACAATTATCTTCAATAAATGAGAGCTTTGATTTGTCAAATCAGAAGATTGCTGTCACTACTTATTAGGCGGTCACCTGCAGTTGAGAAAACCAGCAGTAGTCAGTTGCAAATTTGCCAAGTTTTGTGTTGAAGATGTGCTATTCTTGATTAACTCAAACTCAAAGCGGTGCCCGCCTAATAACACTTGTTCTCCTGTTTAGTGGGCGGACGAGGCCGCGGGCCAATCATGTGCAGATTGTATTTGAAACTTGTATAGATTTGCATCTCTCAAGTATCAACTGGGGACCAGAAAAGGTCAAGAGGCAAATTCATGCAAGGGTAGTTTACTGAGTGTCGTGAGGGGTCTTTACTTCTTAGCAGCAGCGGCCTTACTGGCTTGCCCTTGTGGGGTTTGCCATCCCACATCGGTTTTGGGGGGGGGTTTGGGTTTGGTTTATAAGTCCCTGGAAGGACCTCAAGAGTTGCCGGCTTTTGAGGTTTCTTCTGGGATTAGGTTTATAAAAGCCGAATTTCTAGACTTCAGTTTAGAAAAGGTCAAGAAGTATCAACTGGGGACCCATGTTCCCGAGGCAATTATTGGAGAACCCAACTTGATTTCTCAGTTGCTTAATCCCCAATTTGAATGCCAACATCTTACTGCTACAGCATAATGACATGGCCACCATCCACAAGAGCATGATGATTTTTTTTTTTTTTTTATCGCTGGGTATCGGTTACTCCGGACTGGTAATACCGTCTGTGCCACTATTCCCATCGCCCGGGGAGAGCGGGCCCCACCGATCCCCCGAGAGGATGATGATTCTTACAGATTTTTCATGTCGAACTCTGTGCATTTGCAAGATGTATATATGCATTTTTTTTCTGTAACTTTATTCAATTTATGATGCAATTTCCATATTGGTTAGAAGTCCGCTATCTTGTTTAGATCATTATTTTTTCTTAAAAGATTTATATGTATTCTTCTGAACACATTTATCTCTGATCTTTACGGTATAATTTTTTTCTTATATAAAAACTCTAAAAAATAACAATCCGGTCGAAAACCCTTTTCGGATTAGCATGATTTTTTCCAATTCAGGAAACAAATCATTCAAGACCTAGCATCAGGCACAGGAGCCAAATGATACCTTGACTTGGGAGTTTGGATTATCTAGATCACTTGCTAAAAGTTCCATCTTAAAAGTCCAACCAATAATAATTTTTTTTGTTGCTACATGAGAAACAGGAGATCTGGTAAACAAATGCATTGGCAAGTCATCTGCTCCCTTTCTGCCCGGCGTTGATTGGTGCTGGGCCTTCTATTTTTCTTAGAACATTTTCCACGAGCACTGCTCTGCTGTTCTCTGGACTTACTTTTCAAACTGCCGCCTTCTCAATGAAAAATTTTCTCTCTGATGCATATAGTAATAAATTTGTCTTTACTCTCTCTCTCTCTCTCTCTCTATATAACTATATATATATATATATTTTTATATATATATTGCAAGTCTGGTATTTGCAATTCTTTATTCTTCCGTACACGGTTGAGTGCAAAAACATTTGGAACCCACCCAAAGGTTAGCAAAATGTCAAAGTCAACCACTTACTATGCTGTCGGGGAAGACAGAGACCCAAGTAAAAGGAGCAGGCCTTGACATAATACAGACTAATAAATGCTTCTGGAATAGCATGCATTTCCTTAAAGAAAGGTCCACGCTATGAGAGTCGGCCAATTACATTGGAGCCATCGTTTTTTACATAATTAAGCTTCACAACACCTTAAAAAAAAAAAAAAAAAAAAAGCTTCAAAACACACATGAGGTTCTGAAAATAGCTGGTTCATCCTTGATTAGTGTGGAAAATAAAAACAAACAATGGAATTGTCAGATCAAGGGTCTCAATTAGCTCTGTCAAAATCACAGTTAGTTGAAAGTAATACTTGCAAACCAATTCAAGAAATTACAAGTTGGCAATATAATCAAGATTCAAAGGGAACTCCGGCAGTTGGCTCGAAAAGACGTGAAGAAGTTAAAGACAAACAACAATGGTAGCCCAATTGATATGGATATCTCCTCTCCCGTAATAGATAATATATGATGAGCAACTGTAATAGCTCGCAAGGAAATGCCACCTATGAGGAACAGAAGAAGTAAACCTCAAATCCTGAGGAACATCCATTGCCATGGATCTTCTTGCACACAGTTAATACCTAGAGGTGATTCTACAGCCCAAGAAAATGACTACGTAAAAGAGATCATCAGTCACATGAGCCAATCCTTGGCTTTTAACTAGTAGTGAATATTTAAGAAAAAGGTGGAAGTATCGGGTCTGTCACAAATAACATGAATGTAAGGACCAGGATATCCAGCTCTTAATGGTGGGCCAATGCAAAATACATGGCACCTACAAGATCATAATACAGAAAGGGGATTGTGAGTAAAGCAGTATTAGTTTTAACTTACTATTGTATTTCCTTCACAAAATATAAGGGAATCCGCTTCCATATGAGGTCATGCTTGTAGATATTTGATCAAAACAGGAAGTAATTGTTAAGCACAAGAAAGTCAGCAGACATAATGGAAGGTACAAAAAATGAAAAAAGATGAACTGGAAGTTGCATAGAAAGTCAGAAGAATAAATGATTCCAATATGACAAAATAAGACGAATGTGTAAAGAATATGGAAGAAAAAAGTGATAGTTCATGCACCCTCGAGCATAAAAAGTGATCCAACACTATGAAAACTGCACGTTATAACATGGTGATGGAATTTAGTTAACCAGAAATGGTTTCAAGCTTCTGACTTGCAGGCTCTGTTAGCGGTTCTAAGATAGAGCTTTCTTTACCTTATAAATCCTGCAAATTCTTTTGTTTGTACTGGTAGATATAAACCAATCTCCAATGGACAGTCACTTTTCAACTACTTATTCTCAACAATGGCACAAAATCAGCAGAATGCTTCAATTTAAGAACAACGAATTGAAGATCTCTGTGGATTCTTTCACTTCTACTTTCATTAGCTCATAAAGATGTCCCAATATGGAATAAACCATTCTAGCATGCGGGTGGGACTTGTCACCTGAGACAAATGAATATACCTTCCCGGCAATCTCCATCCAGCTACAACCAGGAGCTTTAGGATAACACATCTCCCTCATCAATCTACGAATTGTGGCTACATCAGACCAGGCTCCATTTGAAGCATACATGTTTGACAGGAGAGTATAATTTACAGCCCTTTTTGGCTCCAAAGTAAACAGCTTTTCAGCTGCCCATTCTGCTAATCCTAGGTTCCCATGTACCTTACAAGCACCAAGGAAGGCCCCCATAGCATCCGAACAATGTTCCACTGGTATTGAGGTCAAAACATCAAAAGCCTCCTTCAAAAGCCCAACTCTTCCAAGAAGATCAACAAGACAAGCATAATGCTCTGGATCTGGAACTAGTTTATAGACATCAGTCATCAGAGCAAAGTACCGTAACCCCTCATTGACCAATCCACCATGGCCACAGGAGGACAGAACCTCAAGAAATGCAATTCGATCTGGCTTCACACCATTAGATAACATCCTCTTAAAAAGTTCAGTAGCTTCATGTGGAAAACCATGGAATCCATAGGCTCCAATCATAGATGTCCATGAGACAAGGTCAGGCTCTAAAATTGACCTAAAAGCTTGCAAGGCAGAAACAATGCTACCACACTTGGAGTATCCACTAATCATTGCATTAGCAATTGATGTTAAAGATGACAAACCATTCTTTACAGTATATGCATGAAGTTGTGTGATTTCACCAACCATGGCTAATATACCACATGAAATGAAGACGCTAGCCAAAGTCAGCTCATCCGGATGGAAATCTTCCTGAAACATTTTGTTAACAAGTTTCATAGCCTGAACCCCATCACCATATTGTCCATAACCAACAATCATAGTGTTCCAAGAAACCACATTTTTTGAGATCATCATATCAAAAACCTTTCGAGCATCAACTAAACTTTCATTCTTTGCATACATATCAACAAGTGAACTAGCCACCAGAACATCCAAATCAAAGCTAAGTTTAACTAGAGTCCCATGGATGCCCCTGCCCAATTGACAATTTCCAAAACTAGCGCAAGAATTAAGCAAACTTGTGAATGTAAACTCGTCACCTGTTAACCCCTCAGACCTCATTACTTTGTACAGTCTCAGTGCCTCATCCTCAAAAGAATTAAGTACATAGCAGGAAACTAACGTATTCCAAAGCACCAAGTCTTTCTGTTTAATAAAAATGAAAACATGCCTAGCCTCTTCAACAAGCCTAAGTTTTCCATACATATCTACAAGAGCACTTCTTAAAAAAAGATCATCACACAGGCCCAACTTCATTACAAAGCAATGCAACACTTGACTCATCTCAACGTTATTAGTATCTACACACAAACGAAATAGACCCCTGAACGTAATCCAATCTGGTCTGACTTCTCCCGTCAACATTCTGCCAAAGTAACAAATACCTAGATCAAAATTTGATTTGAAATAGCTAAACTCGGTTGCAATGCCACATATCATTGTATTCCAGGTGATTATGTTTCTAACAATCATTTCACCGAATACCTGATGAGCATTGGATACACATTTGCAATTGAGATAAAAATTTAAGAGCAGATTTTGTAATGGCAGCATATTCTGATATCCCAGTTTTATAATTTGGCCATGCAGCTGTTTCCCTTGATGAAAAAGATTGAATTTTGCTGAGTGTTTCAGTTCACTGGAGATAAACTTATGGGTTAATTGTGAACAGGCAGAACGAGCTGCAGATTCTCGTGTTGGAAGTGAACCGCGAGGTCTAGTTATGGAGGGAGTGGTTAGAAAGGATAACCGTCTTTTAAAAAGGACGGCCTGGATTGAAAGGGAAAGGCATTTGATCATCGCAAACTGGCGGGAGAATGTACAAAATGTTCATTGCAACTTGCAAGACAACGTAGGATTATATCGAAATAGAAATGGTAAATTGCGACTAAAATGTCTCATTCAAGTTTCAGTCAAAAAAGACATTTTGCGCTTCAAGTTTGAATCACAAAATTGAAAACTGTGAAAGCTTGAAGGGTTGAGTTCAATTTGGCCTGACACAATACACAGGTATGGCCCTTCTCAAAAGTGCAATTTTCCCTTTGGAATTCCAGAGTAGCATTAAGATTGTTTCAACTTTCAATTAAGCCCATGTCCATAGTCGTTGGCTTTTGATGCGTTCGTGTTTTAATTTGTGCTTATAAAAAGAAAACAATGCTCGAGTTTCAAGTTTCAATTGACACCCCCCAAAGAAAAAAGTTTAGTAATCAAACATTGATAAATTAGAGGAGCTACTTAGAGAAACTTCAATATGAGATTCGATCAGGTGTTGTTTTGAACTGCTATTTTATTTGGAGAAAAATTTTCTATTTTTAGTAAATAACTTTTTTACATATTTCCAAATCAACTCTTCATTTCACACATATCACATCCCAAAATATTACGATAATTTTTTCCCCAAAAGCTCTCTACAAAATACAATCCAAACAACTAGGAATGGCAAAGGACCCACCCGCCGGCCCTCGTCACCCGTTCCCCCCACCCGGAAAAAGTTTATAATTAGCCAAAATATATTATTAGTAAAAGTGTAATTAGTAATTTAGTATAACTAATAATATATATATATATATATATATATATATATATATATATATAAACTTTATATAAGCAGGGGACAGGGCGGGGGTATAGTATCTCATCCCCCAACTCTTTTTTTAATGAGGGATGAGTTTTATTTCCCGCCTCACCCATTAACCTCCCGCGGGTATTTACCCCAATTGCCATTCGTACAAACAACCTAGACTTTGGGGAATCACACAAAAAAATTTCTTGGGGTATGAGTTGGTTTATACAATTATGAAGAGGTATTATTTTATTTCCAAATTTATGAAAATAAATTATATATAAAAAGGTATAAAAACAATTTAGTGGAATGTGTTAATTATTTTCTAACATTGGGTTAATTTTTAACTGTAGGTTGTATGTTCTGATTCCACAAAATAAAAACGGTACTATGAGATCATAAGAAAAATTTATGTACATTTACATATATGGGTAATTTCAAGTCAAATTTGATCTATCTATTATATGTCAATATAATAATTTCTACACTATCAGCGTTGGATGAACGACAATTATATAAAATTTGAATTTGAAATTCAATTTGTGCACATGTGTCATAGATCCAACGATGATAGTGTATGCATTGTCAATATATATAAGATTTACTCATAATATTGTGCATAAAATAATTCGATCCATAGAAAATATAAAAAGCAATCCTAGACCTGTGTATTAATAACCAGTAAAAGATATTTAAGTCAAACCCATTAATTTTAAAATATTAAAAATAAATTTAATTCAATTACAACAATTAGTGATTGATTTTGTATAATTGTACTGCTCCTATTCCTTTATGATAATTTGCATTTTGTGCATTTAGTATGATGGCTAATTAACTTGGTTTGCCTTTGAATAACCAAAATATATCTATAGTAACCCTCTCTAAAACACTAAAACGAAAAAAAAAATCAAACACCATCCATAAAACAGACACACCAAAATACCTACACATTAACACCTTTTTCTTCATCAGCCATATATAGGGCTGTCAACGGGTCGGGTCCGGGCCGGAATTCATTATTCCGGACCCGGACCCGAATTACTATACCGGATCCGGATCCGACCCGTTTACCCGACGGGTCTTTTATTCTATGTTCCGGATCCGGATCCGGCGGGTCCCGGATCCGGATCCGGGTCTACCCGAACAAATTTACCAAATTTTATAATTTCTAATAAAAATGAGAAAAAAATATATTTGTAAATTAATTTCTAACTAATGCAAAGAAAAAACCAAATAAGAAAAGAAATCAAATTAATTTTATTAAGATACATCACCCTAATCAAATTATATTGATAAATATATATTTTTTAAATTATTAATTCATTTATATCCGGATCCGGGTCTAATACGGGTCGGAATACTATATTCCGTATCCGACCCGTTTTTTTGTTTGACAAAACGGATCCGGATCCGGATCCGGAAAACGGAATTAAATCCCTACCCATACCCGCAATAATTTCACGGATCCGGTCCGGATCCGGGTCTAGACCCGACCCGTTGACAGGCCTAGCCATATAACCAGGCCCTCTCTCTTTCCCCCTCCTTTTTCCATACAATCTGTTCCCTTTACTCTCCAACCAAATTTGGTTTGCGACTAGATTGCAGCCTGTCATTTTGGATAATTTACATAACATGCTCTCTTAAATTTCCTATTGTGGCCCTAAAATTTCTAAAAATTCTTAAATTGCCTGACTAACAAATAGAATAGGTACCTATACAATGAATTGCTTCCAAACCAAGTCATTTTGCCCACAGCTTCGAGAAGTTGAACTGGTTTTTTGGCGTAATTTACCTAGACCTGGGAGCTTTCTATATATAGCATATGTGATTAGGAATTTTATAATAGTAAATTGATTGACATATAGGTGGATTTTCTCCTTGATTAGGCTATGACACGTAATATTATTTTTTCTCCCTCCTTTTGGTTTGGGTGGATGACGAATGAGAATAAATTTGGTGAGGGAACAAAATGGGAAGACATCCACATATACAGATATATATATATGTATTGCAGGAAGGGTTTTTAGAATGGTTAAATCAGAATGCTTATAACTCTTCATTCTTTTTTTTATAGAATTTTGAATTTTTTAAATTGTTATATATCATTTCTTGTCTTTTGAATTTAAAAAGTAAGAAGTGACCCACTTATATATGAATTTGATTTGAAATCTATTAATGTAAAGATAAATAAAGAGGAAACATCACCAACCCTACTAAAAGTAAAAAAGTAAATATCAATATTTTACCTTCAATTTAGTAATCCTAACTAAAATGGTAAATTATATAGAAAACAAAAAGAAAATAATATTCATTGGTCATGGATTTTAAAAAAAAAAATCAAGAATGGTACCATTTGTGAATCATTAATTATCAAATCACTAAATAAAAAACAAAGTACTACTAGCAAAAAAACAAATTATGAATTTAAAGGGTTTGGGAGAATGGTGAGAGGAAAATAATAGGAAATTGGGTGGCAAGGATAGGAAGTTAGAGGCTAGCTATAGGTGAGGGAAAGAGAATAGCAATGAGTTAATCAGTGGTGAAAAAGGTTGAAAAAGGAAGGAAAACTACTACAAAGTTTGACGAAGAGAGGGGAGAAGAAAGAATGGGATTGTGGGGATATGATAGGAAAGATGGTATTGTGGTAAGAGATCTGAAAATAATAGAAGGTAGTAAATAGCCAGTTAGTACGTAAGAGATGATGGGAAGAGTGGCAATTTTTAATAATTTTGAAAATTTTAAAAACACATATTACAAAGATTGTTTTAAACATATATTAAATTTTATGAAGAACCTTATTCTATAAGCACTCAACAATTTTAGAATTACAAGATGGGAGCAAAATTTTATAAAAATGAAGGAAATGAACTAGTTATACTTTGTATTTTTAATGTTAAAAATTTTGATATATGGGTATAACATGATATATTGATAAATAAGTTTACAATTGCTCTATCATGTAAATTATTATATTCAAAGTGTTGTTATATTTTGACAGACAATAGGTAAACAAAAATTGGTTTCAACTTTATTGTTTTGAATTGAAATATAAACCCCTTATACTATAATATATAAGTATATACGTTAATATTGTTTTGAATTGAAATATAAACTTGTGCATTGTACGGGTCAGAATGCTAGTGGTAAGTATTCATTAGTTGTTGTGAATGATTTGTGTTATCAGTTAATTAGCATAGAGTTGTAGGAATTGTAATCAGAATGGAGTGTGAATGAATGATTTGTGTTATCAGTTAATTATTATAGAGTTATAGGAATTGTAATTGGCATGGCGCCTTCAGTTTATAGATGTGATTTGAGTTTTCAGTGCTCCGAGTTAGTGGATAAGTGACGCGTAAATTTGAAATGGTGAAAAAGGATAAGAGTCGATGAGGGTTACCTAAATACACACCGCAATTGGACATCATGAAAAGTTAACTAACAATTTCAAACAAGTTGATTGTAACAAAATTGCGGAGCTAAATATTTTTAAATTAAAATAATTTTAAAGTTCTAGAAAAAAAAAAGGGATTGAGATTGTGAGGGTGCGTGGTGGCTTCTAATAAAATACCATCCTTGGAATATATATATATATATATATATATATATATATATATATATATATATATATAGACACTTTTACTTAGATATTGCTTCAAAGTTGAAATCGAGCCTACTATTTATCCCGTTATATTCCTATTATGAATTACGGACGTGTTCGAAT